TTGAAAATTTAGGTCCTAAACTTTTTAATGAATTACCTCTGTCTGTTCGTTCTAGTCCTTCAGTAGACATTTTTAAATCCAGACTGAAAACGCACTTATTTAAATGTGCTTTTAATATTTGACTGATTGTTTATTGTATCAGCGCCTTTGATCTTCATATGTTGGAATTGTTGCGCTTAATTAAATAAAGTTATTATTATTATTATTATTATTATTTTAAATCTCTCACTAAATTATCTGTGTTATGTTTGTCCACTTTTTTCCCCCCCAGAATTGTAAATTTTCTTGTGGATTCTAATGTTTTTGAAGTTTGCCTAGTGGTGTTGAGTATTGGTATTCTATTTTATACTACGATTTCACTGTAGAAGACTTTATTTTTACTTGGAATCCCACCGACTTGAAATGCAACCTATGTTATTATATGCATGTCTAAAACCAGAGTGATCGAGCAATGAGAATGAAATCTTGAATAGACATTTAAACTATTATAAAGATTGCAAATAAAATGCCATAATTTTGGTGTAATATTTTTATACATTGTTCTTATATAATATGTAAAAACAAGCAGCCTGTCAGCTGAGATAGCTCCGCTGTTAGTAATGCACATTAGAAAATGAACAATATGTATAGTATTAAAGCAATCAGACTTGTGGTTTTAAATAAGAATTCGAAAATATCACTTTTTACCAAAAATATTCACCAAAATTAGAGAATTAAAGATATCATCATGAAATGAACAAATCTGAGAGAGGTTCACATGTAGTACCTATATATGTAATATCAAAGCAATCAGACTTGTAGTTTTTAAGAAGAAAATGACAAAAATATTCACCAAAAATAGAGAATTAGAGATTTTGACACAAAATGAACAAATCTTGGAGAGAACCACCCAAAGTACTTGCATATTCAATTTGGAAGCATTTTGACTTGCGGTTTTGAAGAAGAAGTTGAAATTGAAAAGTTGACGACGACGGACAATCAGTAATATGAACAGCTTCGATGTGTCGAATTTGTCGACAGCGGAGCTAAAAATGAAGGTCCTGATCAAATTTTTTGGAAAAATATGAAAACAAAGACATTTTTCTGGAGGTATTAGGTGACATACTCCGACATTCCACTAACCTTTAAGAGTATTTCCTTTGCACAGTCCCAGCACAGAGCACACTTTCTGTGGGTCAAGTTCATTGACAAGCAACTGAATAACAGCTGGTCCATATTCATCAACAAAGCTTTTGCACTCTTCTGCAAGGGAACCGGGAAGCCTTGCACACACATCGTCAAGAGCAGCAATGATCTCAGCCTAGGTAGAAACAAAACAGTACACTTCAAAACAGCTACAGTATTTGCTCTATTAGAAACCCAAAATTGTATTTATAATATACTGTGCTGTTAAAATATTTATATATTGTAATTTATGTGAGCAGTTGTGCTACTACAATATGATATCCAGTCATGGAATGGTAAAAATGGCCACTAGTCAGCCATTTTGTTTATAGAGCTCTCTAACTATGTGGGTAATTGTGACAGTTGGAATTTGCAGTGATCAATTGGTTATTACCGTTAAAGTCCTAATATAAACCGCATACGTAATAGTAACCGCACCCCCAATTCCGGCTTCGGGGTTAAAGAGTTCTTAACAAAAATTGAAAACTTGAAAAGTACCTATTACTAACCGCACCCCCAATTCAACAAGACCGTGACTGTCTTCATTGTTTCAACCAGCTGTTCCAAAACGGCATTGTTCCTAATCCTA